CCCCAAAACCCCAAAACCCCAAAACCCCTCTATAAATTATTTTATTGAAATTGGCTGATAATTTATCACAAAATGTCCAGGAATTCAGTTGCACACTTAACCCTAAAGCCTCGTACATACACAGTAAAGGAGCTTGGGCTGGCACTTCAGAGAAGGTATAGCACATTAATCATTATTGTAGAAAACTGGAGTATTATGAAATCCCTGATTTCAACCAATTCGTTAAATTTGATGATCGGATAAACTATAAGTCTAAAGACTTGAAATCTCAGATCAAACTGTTAAAGTACCCCTTAGCTGCTACAGAGGATAGAGCTGACTCTGTAAGATACTTTAGGAATATTTCCCTTTTATTTTAAAGCTCTTTAATCATCAAAGTTCATTTTTAGAAACCTAGCATGAGATTCAAGTGATATTCCAAAGGAGATCTCAAGAAAATTATACGGAAAAAAAATAACCCAATGCTACAAAAGAGAGTTAATGAACTCAAATTTTGATTGGAAAAACGCATTACCTTTAGTGGCATGAGGACTACTGCAGGAAGTATGCTCACTTTAGATCCTTGATGAACATCAAGGAATGGTTGAAACTCTAATTCTCATTCTCAGTTTCAGAGTCATACAACTGAGCTAGCTCAAGGAAAGGATATGAGACAGTGGTCTTTAATAGCATATAACTGGCTATTCAAGAGAACTACACCTCAAAATAGCACTATGCAACCCAAACTGTTTCGATCAATAAGTTGCTCAGTTCTAGAAAAGGTAAACCTCTCTTATAATTATTAAATAGCATACAAAAGTGGAAGGACTAAATCCTAAACTAGGTAAACCACAGGAGAAACTGTCCAAATTGAATAAAGTAGAGCAACCAAAACTATCCTCAAAGAAAGGAAACCTAATCAAAAAGACTTTATTTGACTGATCTTCCTTTTCATGGAAAAAGTATGCAGGTTTATATAACTTATAGGAAATTTAGCTTCGGACAAAGACCTAAAGGTCCTAGAAATCAAAACAGTAGGTCAACAATGTCTTATTGTAAGGAAAGCCAATTTTAATCAAGCATAAGGATTTTTATGAAACAATAGATCCTATAATGCCAAGTGAGAAAGGGATGGCAGGCTCAGATTCTTCCAAACGGTCCCTATTTAACGTAAAGAATGCTATTGTTGACTTTCTCGGTATGTTATTGAGTTTATTTCTAGACAAAAATAAAGAGAACCTTACTAACTCAAAAAGAAGAATTGTAAAAAGTAAAAGGACACAGAGTATAATGAATTAGAAGTTAAACTACTCATGTCAAATTTTTCAGTTATGCATTACAAAATAGGGGTTTTGGGGTTTTGGGGTTTTGGGGTTTTGGG